TTCCTTTACAGGCAAGGCAGAAGCCATCTTGGACTCTATTTAAATTGCAGTTGCCATGATGCTGCACATGTGATCAGTTATGACATCAGCCATTTCAGGGCTTGAAAGTTCGGTTGAGAGCTGAAAAAAGCTTTGGGAGACATAAAATTGGTGGGTCAAGTTCTACTTTAAGCAAACCGGAAGACTGATTTTAGTACACTACAGAAGCTGGAATCCATAGGCACTACTTTTTGATACGTGATAGAACGATGAACTAACCCTTTAATGAACCAATATGCTATCTTTATACCATGTTGTACTATGGTACATATGAATGATTCCATAAGTGACACAAGAGCTCACTGTGCCAAGTTGCTTGAGGGAAACTCTATATTAACACACAGTAAGATTCAATAAAACCTGCAAACCAGAGGTGAAGACTTTGTAATGACTTAACTTCTATTAGGGCTCATTCACAACATAATGTGCATTAAAACACATGAAAAAACAAGTGAGTTGACGTACATTGATGTGCTTTTTTATGCCTTCTTTCCCTATTTCCATCACTTTCATCACTTCCTTTTATCTTTGGTGAGTTTATTTTCCTTTCAGTTGAGTTTTTCATGTTTTACATGCATTCATGTGCATTGCATTGTGGAAAAATGCAGGCTTGCTGCATTTTTCTGCACCTCCATGCTCCACACCCCTCTGCTCAATTGTGGGGTATATTGGGCACATAAAAAAAAATCTGTATGTCCTTGTAGAAACCTGCATTGATCAGGTACAGCAATAACACAGGTCTCCGCGCATGTTGTGAATGAGCCCAGAGAGAATGTTCTCTCGGTTGAGGGGTATTTCCATGCTGACAGCTTAAAGCAGCACTCTGTGCAAAGAGATTAACCCTTGCAGTGGGGCTACACCTGCACTGCAAGGGTTAACTGCTCATTTGTGTCTAGGGCTGAAAATAAAAAGTTATACTAACCTGATCCCGGAGCTGGCTTACTGTTAGACTGCTCCTTCCACTGTCTCCTCCACAGCTGCAGTAGCCTAAGGATCCTCAAATCATCACATCCAATACAGTGTATTGGACGTGAGGACACTGGGGGGGACATGCCATGTTGCAGTGGAGGAGGGTGGAGGGAGCGCTGCCTGCTCAGAGTATAACTTTATTTTCAGCCCTAGACACAAATGGGCAGTTAACCCTTACAGTGCGGGGGTAGTCCCACTGCACGGGTTAATAATATTTTTGCCCAGAGTTGCCCAACCTCAGATCTACGAAGGATAGTGAATGGTAAGATCTGCTAACCTCATTATATTGTATAATATTGTTATGACAAGATATACTAGCTGCATTGAGGTATTCTTAATGAGACCCGTCCTCCATCGTCATACCAACAGTATACAATGCGTTAGTGGTCTGATCAGACATCTAATATTTTGCAAATAATTATTCAGTTTGTCCATGGCAAAGGGTTGTGAGTGCTGCTCTCCCACTGCCTACTTTGCAGACATTTGGAGAAAGAAGTAGTTTTGAGAGCATGGGCAATACAGCTGGAAAAGGAACAGAACAGCCATAGCTAACTAAAAAAACCCCCAAAAAATGAAACTAAAAGACAAGAAAACACAGAAAAAATCGAAGTGGTTGGGTACGGAAAAAGAAAAAAAGCAGTATAGAGGTACCTGTGCAAGACAAAAAAAGGCAGCCATCAAGACTAGATAGAGGTTACCAAAGCTACAAGGCAGAAAAAAGGAGCAATGTGATGCAGAGTATGGAAAGAATAGTTCTGTGTTTTAGAAAAGGGGCATCCAAGTGTCAAGTCACTGAAAGGAAAATTACATCAACAGTCACATCCACCTTTGGAGCTAAACAACAACTGCCAATATTAAAATCCTCATACTGTGTGATTTCATTAATTGTTGGCCATCCTTTTCTGCATTCCTGTTCATTTAGACCATAACAATTCGGTTACCTGCTTGTTGTACTTACCTGAATAAGCCCATTAGTGTGAACATACTTGGGCCGCATACACATGGCAATGAAAATACATGAGTCAAGGTGCGTTTGAAGTTCATTTCTAAATGCACCCTGAAGTATGTAATGCTTTACTATGGCTGAATGCACACCTAGATGTTTAGCAGCGACTCTAGGTGCATTCGCTCCAGCTGCATTTACGCAAACAAGCATTTTGCTGGGAACGTTTAGTCTGTTTTTATGCAGCTAAATGCAAGCACGTCTAAGCGTGAATAAAAACAGGAGCGTCTAAACAGTGGGGAAAAAATGATCTGGGAAGCATAAAAGTTGTTTATACTTCCCTGATAGTTTCTCTTGTGTTTTAAGGCAGAAGGCCTGTGTCATGAGGCCTAATGTGTACAAGCTTTTTATAGTTTACATTTTAGTGGGGGGACTTAACAGAATAGTACTCAGAAAACTCGTAAGAGATCCTTTTGTGCTGCCATAAACTGCACAAACCCACAGCAGCCCGCACTAATATTGGATAACTTGCATATAATACAATATGTATGTATCTATATATTCTCACACACACACACCATTGCAAACGAATGCGTGAGTGGCAGAGATTGTACACATTAAAAGCTTTACTAATGGAATGTTTGCTAGAAATGTAAAATAAGTGTAGAGTTCCAGCACTTCTGGTAAAGTTTCTAACAAGCTGTTATTACCTCCCTAGTGCCATGGTTTGTTTATTCAGATTCCATGGGTGCAAAAGGAACCTGAATCACCAGCCAATATTTTTATTGTCACTTGATTAATGTCTGCCAGCCAAAACCCTCGAGGCGATGCTTGTTAAAAGCTAAATTGCATAGTGGTATTGTTCTCCTTACCATGAATTATGTTAGAGATTCACTTGCATTATTATCAGTCTATGTTTATTATACCTAAATGATTTCCTTCTTGAAGTTTGTAGAATGTGCTTTTCTTGTGGCTATCAAGTACATAAATATAAAGGTAACTTTGCCCTTGACTCAAGGAACCCCATGCTGATTTATAAAAAAAATATGTGATTAGCAGATTAAGCAGCTCTTTTTCTGGCTAATTCGTGTCTCCTCTTCTTGCTTTAAATTCTCTTATTTTTAAAGTCAATATGTACCCTTTTGCAAAAAAAAATCCCCCAAAAAACTGCACAGTACTAGACTACAACTGTTTTTACCGAGCTAAATTATAAATGTGCAATGTTTCACTGCAAGCAGCTTGCCCCCTTTAAGGGATTAGTGCACTGTTTGCTTCCTCTAGTTCCTAGGGCTTGCGTTGAGGGGGTTTTGTTCACATCAGAACTGCTTATGTCCCTGTACCATACTAACTATGGTTATGCAAAAGCAGGTCCAATGCAAGTCAGAAGGAGGCCAGTTTCAGTTCAAATGCACTTGCAATGAATTTGGAATTTTTTCAGAATCTTCTCAGACTGATGTCAAAAGCAAGCTGCATTTGGAGCCCAAAGCCCGTTGACCCTTATATAAACACGAGGTTTGGGGATTAATTGAATTATACTGGCCATTGCTTACTAAGTACTAGTGTTACTCAGACCCTCCATTCATAACATAGTGCCAGCCCCTTGTCTCAGTTTTGGGTGAGCTGGAGGTTGGAAACTTTGCATTAGACTTTTACTTTCTGGATCCTTGGGAGTAAAAAACACACTCATGCCAATAGGTTGGTAGCACTTTGGCTGTCTATTGCTGCCCTATATTTTTTATAGAGAGACCATCCTTTAAAGAAGAACTCCATGATGAGGAGTTTCTAATTGCAAGAGTTATGTTGCATCGCTAAATATAACCCTATACAATCATTGTTTTGCAGCTTGAAGGCCTGACAATTATCAAATAGTTTGCTTCTTAACAACCAAACTAATATGCTGATTGTGCCTGCCCCACAATGACTTCCAAGTTCACTGTAAATCATTGCAGGGTGTGTCTGCTCCCACCACAGATGACTTGCTTAGGATGTAGGAGCTCCCACTTAACTCCTGCTTGTTCTCTACATGTCTGTGAGTGATGCGGTCCCTGTCAATTGTACTGTATATTATTTTGCAGAAAGGTTGTTATTCTTAAACTCCACCGGGTTATGTTTTGATTCCAGCAGTATCTGGAGGAGTAGTTTATTTTTTCAGTGAAATGCACCTTTCTCTAGCTTCTCTGCTTTTCTAAAACTGCATCATACTACATTGTTAAAGGGCACGTGTTGTGCATTATTTTCTTGTGCATTTGAGTTGGTGGTTCTACTTCTATTTTTGTTTGCTTGTGTGGTACAAGTTCCACCAGCTTCTGTACACCATGCTGACCAGCTCCAAGTAGAATGAGAGACAAGATTAATTGTGGCTGTACGCTGGCATATTACAAACGTTTCACTTTTTGTACGATTATGTGAACTTCAAATAGTAGTACAGAGAACGTGAAACAGATGATGTAGCTATATTATTATTATACAGGATTTATATAGCGCCAACAGTTTGCGCAGCGCAAACTATTGACTATTGCAACTCCCTCCTCATTGGCCCACCTCTACACAGGCTATCCCCCCTTTAGTCTATCATGAATGCAGCTGCTAGACTCATCCACCTAACCAACTGCTCAGTGTCTGCAACCCCCCTCTGTCAATCCCTACACTGGCTTCCAATAAAGGATAAAATTCAAAATAACAACCATTTGCAACAGACACATATGTTTACTTTGTAGGACGGTGTCAGCATAGCCTAGCCAGATGTCCAAGGAAGTACTCTTCATATTGGACTCACAGTTCTTCTGGATGACTATAATACACTATATTGTCCCTATATCTATGTAAAAAAAAATATGAAAAGCTGAAGAAATGTTAGTAAGCCTTTTCTGAGAATTATACAGTACTTGCTGGATGTGTCGAGCATTCTTCCTATAATCTGAAAAAAGAGAACATGCATACTTCCCCTTTTAACATTTTTTTTTTTACTTGCCATAGTTTCTTACCAGACAGTCTTGATGTGCTCTTCTTTCTTTCATTAATTAACCATGTTGTGTAATTCTCCTAACAGATAGTTGCTCCACAAGAGACTTTGAAAAATCGGAATGCCATGCATCCAAATCATCAAAGGAGCCACATACTGCATCACCCAGGAAAGGCAAGGCTTCCCTAATAATAAGGCTACAGCAAGTCTGTAAGTCCCCAGGAAGCCGCGTTTACAAGGCCTTACAACTGAAGCCTCTGGAGAAAAGAGGTGCAGAGAAGCTACAGACAAGAAAAGTGTGCCGTAAAAAAAGCTACAGAGACCGAACACTAATCACTTATAAGCGTAGAAGAAGGGTTTGGGCCACGCACAGCAAAAGTAAAGGTTTCCCAGATTTAGTGGGGAAGCGCATCCTACATTTATTCGATGATGGTGAGCGTGAAACTTGGTTCCCAGGTAGAGTCTTGCGCGTGCACCGCCGTTCCCGCAAACTACGAGACACACAGTTTGAGGTGTGGTATGATGCTGAACCTGGCACACGTTATTTCTTAGAATTACTACAGGACTATGAAAAAGGATGGCTAAAACTGGACAGTTAATTTACCATGATCAATCACACCAACCGGGCAGGCCTGGAGCACAGTGATTTGCTTGAACTATTCTGTTTGAAGTTTCTCTTTCTTATTTGTGGAGGCTATAATGTGATTTCTGAAAGAAATCCAGCAGTCTTTCATTTTTAACTGTTTTTTTATTGTTTTTTTTTTTTTTATTTTAACATGGTTTTTATCCAGGTATTGGCAATGTATTGTGTTAGTAAATATTGGAGAACAAGTTTCTCTTTTATATAAAAAGGTGCCTTTCATATTTGTTGTATTTGTGTATGTATTATTTAAGGTTCTGTTATATGTAAAGTTAAAAAATGTGAATAATGCCAGCAATCTTGGATTGAAGGCTTGCTGTATTGTCGTTAAACACTATTGTTTACACATCAGGCAGACCTGGGCTGCTTTTACAACATTAAGATGATGGCCTTAACTGCACACAAGCTTGTGATCACAACTTAGCCTGCGTGCCCTATTAACCGCCTACCTGTAACACTGCCCTTATGCTCAGACCCCCCACTGTAACCTGTCGTAAAAAAAAAAAAATGGCCTTGGGTGGTCCCTATTCTCTGAAGCAGATCACATTCACTTATCTGCAGCTTTCAGACACACTGGGTTCTAGGGATAGGAGCAGTGTGGCAGGGAGGTTGTTAAGTTTTGGCTATGTATTTTAATCTGGAAAGGCAGGCAAGGTCTTCTTGGTGACTTTTAAAAGCACTTCTACCTTTTTATCACGTATTCTTGTTTTTGGAGGACATTTTAGGCTTCTCCCTATCAAATATTTGGTTTGAGAAGAATATAGTGTACTCACTTCTAGGGATAACAAGTCGCAAGGCATAGCTCAAGATGAGGACAACGACAAATAGACCAAACACAAATGCAGTTTATACAGTAGCTAATTCACATATTGTAATATTTGCATGATGTGTTTCCTATGTAGTGCAGTTATTCATGAGGTTCCTGAAAAATTATTCATACTATGCTAGAAACCTGTCATGCAAAGGATCATATAGTTTTATTTACCTACTTTGTTTTTTAACCCATAGAATAAAGGTGTACATTGTATTTTTGCTCCACCCAAGTGCACTTTCTAGTGTATTTCTTTTGGGACCTGCTGGTTCTGTAAATAGAAGCCCCACTGAACCCCTAATCCCATTCTTATAGAAATCCACATAATGATTGCTGCGTTAGCACATATGGCCTGACATTGAGATATCTTATGTGTGTTGCTGACGAGGTCAACATAGGGTTCAGAACACGTTTCTAACGCTAGCTCATCTCTGTGTTTCAGTCAAGAGATGTGAAGCCCTTTTGTTGGTGTTGGACCCAGTCAGTTTTTTAGATTTCCCCTGGATACTGTGTACTAGATTCTATATTTGATTTAGTTTGCCATTTTGCTGGCATTATTCACTTTCTAGCTTTATATTTATTGCACAGGGATTTGACAGCTTGTCCATTGTTTATTTCTGGTCCATCTGTTGTTCCTGTTACCATGGACTTGTGTCTGAAAGTTTTTTTTAGTTTTTTTTTTTTAAATTAAAACTGATGTTTTTCTTAAAGAAATAATTCTGTTTTTATAGTTGGGATTTTCACATTTGCACTTCTTATGCCCGTATTTAGTCAAAATACTGTGTACATGTAAAAAAGGGTAACGCAGATCAGATTAGCCTGTGTACTATTTATAAAATACCTTTGGACAACTTTTTGTATTTGTAACTGTTATTCTAAAAAAAGAACAAGGCCATGTGTGCAATAGTTTTAAATGTTTTTAAATTGCTCTATACTGTGCATTCTTAAGGCAATGTTGAGATATTTAAATTGGAACAATAAATGGCGAATTGGTGCACAGAGACGAGTTATTTTTTTCTTTTCCATTCCAAAACACATAAAAAGCATTTCTTAAAGTTTTAGGTAAACGCATATAGCGTGCTAGAGTGTTTCCTGTAAGAAAGTATATGTCACTTGTATCTCAGATCAAATAATAAGAGGTGTTAATTCCTCATTTTTGGAGAGTGGGTGTTTATGAAATGTGCTAATGATGAACAAAACCATAGAACTCTAGCGTGCATGATATTTATACTGACCACATTACACAGATCTTCTTTTCTGTGGAAAACATTCATCTTTCTTTCTGGGTTTCTTACTCATTTTGTTTTAGAAAGATAGGGAAAGGGTTAGCGCATCCGTCACTTTATCACCTCTGCCCTTATTGGGAGATTTCTCCTCACCTACTGTCAGGACAGGAAGTGATGGGAAATCTTTCTAACAACCCATTTTTAGTGGAGCAAAGAAGAGGTAAAACTTCTGATGTTTTTATTGTTGTCCATGCCTTCCTGCTTTGTCAACCACATACCCCATTACTTGACCAAAACTTACCAGAAGTTTAATTCTTCACCACTACATGCCAAACCATACCCTACAAAATTGCCTGTCTGGACTTTGATTTCAATTCTCTTCCCCTAATGCATGATACATCTCCCTTTTCTGTTTAAGCTGTGCAGTACAACACAATTTTATGGTGGGGGTGGCACAACCTTTTTTTTACCCCAGGATGTCTGGTCCTGGAATCCATATTGGCCTAATTATTATTTCCAGGAACAGAGAAATGTTGCAATATCACAAGATTGTATACTTTTTTAATTTTCCTTTCCTGACACGTATGCATCGCAGCATATTGTTGGGTTAACTCTGCCCCTGCAGGACTTCTATACCCTATAAATAAAAGACCTTTACCTAGTCTCAGCATTTTATTAGTCTAGTCAGCAATAATAAAACGGTATAAAGGGAGAGTCAAATCTATGCTGCCATGTTTATGTGTCGAGAAAGAAAATTTACCAAAGGCAAGTATTACAGTTTTCTTATTTCCTGACAAGCATGTCAGCATACTAATGGGATGTAACAAGCCAAAACTGGGTGGGTACTGCATATCAAATTAATTCAGATTTGGAAGTGGAAGAGAAAACTACAAGCCTTTCAAAGCCCACTGTGGCAGAATCGACCCTGTAATGCACCAAGGGTGTGTTTGTAAAATGACCATGTTGCTGCCCTGCAAATTCTCAGCGCTTTAGCAAACTGGAATACCATTTGATAAAGAGCCCATCAGGTGACTGAGAATGTTGACGAGGCTGAAATATGCACGTTTAAAGTATTGGCCACTAAATTCATATCCAAGCCCTTTGGAGAAAAGCCCAAATTGTTAATGTCTGGATCAATTTGGTTGAAACCGTGTCTTTCCATGTAGTCTATCATTTTCTGCCAAACTTTGGAATACATGGAATTTATAGCTGCATGACGGGCTTTTAAGAGGGTACTAATAATTTGGTCCCTGGTACTCATTCTTTCCTTTTTAACCTGTCAGAATATTTGATATGAAATTATATATAAAGTAATGAAGCTAGCTTGGTAAGACTGGCCCTATGAATTTTGTGATGAACTTCCTTGTAAGAAAAGACAGTTTGCCAGGTGATGAAACTCAAAACAGTGTTTGGCTTGAGACAATAGTGATTCCAAAGTTTGAGGTCCAAAAAAAAGACTCCTCAAGCTTCAAGATCTATTACAAGTCCCCCACAGTAAAAACTTTGGTGGGAAGTTATCAAAAATAGTGTTGACAGAATATAATCTGTGTCCACCTGTGATTTTAGAGCAGACTCCATATTACCAGTCCAAATTCGTATTGTTTTTGCTATAGAAGAAAGAGCTAGCACTGGCTTACAGATACTTCCTGCACGTGAATAGATCTTCTTAAGGTTGACCATTGGAAGACTAACATGTTGTTCCAAACGCATGACTGCTGTACTGTAGGTGATGTCTCAAAACCTCATAAATCATCTTCCTTAACACTTTCCCTGGCACCGACGTAAGGCATACGGCAGAACACAACTCCTTCCAACTGGCCACCTCAGTATTTCCTATGTCTGTGGCTTTACCCTTCTGCTATAAGCTCATAGCTTTAGCGACCTTGAACTTATAGCAGAAGGGTCCCCCTGGCAGTACCCTGTAAAAGGATAGCTGTCTTCAGCGGCTGACAAGAGGCGCACTCAGTACAGAGACTTCTGTCCATTCATAACTGGGGAGAGTACTATGCCATTGTGAATAACCAGGAAGCCTCTGTACTGAGTGTTTTCTGTTCATTCAGAGCTGGGGCTGCAGAAAAAAAGAGATTGAGGACTGCGTCCTCAATTTCTTTTTCTAATTTAAAAGGGAAATGTCATGGGAATATTTTCAAGAAACCCCCCCAACCGACACAATAAAAAAATGAAAACAAAACAATATACACTTGCAACAATCGGTACCATATTGTGATGTACGTTATGCACATGCGCTGCTGTGCGTTTTTAGAACATGTTTCCTTTTTTAAAAACATTAAATTATCTGTGTGGCAGCGCATTGCAAAGTGTTGTGATGCATTGCCCTGCATTGTGATACGCTGTGTTGTGATTAAATGTATGCCTGCATCATTTTATCACTGACTAACACTGCGCACAAACGGCACTGCAGATCAGGCATTACCACAAAGCAGATTTTTAACATTAGTTGCATATTTACAGTTTTGTCTACCTTTTGTTTTTTTTTACCATTTCGCAAATGGCGCAATCTAAAATTTAATTATATATTTTTATTGATTTAATATTGATTTGATAAACATTTGTGCAACTATCACAGAACCTACAAAATTAGCAGCATCCTCTTTTTATTCTACCAGTCCTGTGCTTTCAGGAAATGTATGGTTTGGGGCGTCTTTTACCAACTCTAAAAGCAGCAGTTGAAAATGTTTACAAAAGGGGAAAATTTGCAAAAATGGTCTGGACAATCGATTATTGAGAGATTACTTCTTATCAATTTTTTTCCATTCATCCAGCACAATCTGATTTCCTGCATCAGTGGAAAGGTGGATACAGGGGTTGTAATATTGTTTAGTCTTACTGGCATTAAAAAATTGGATCTGGCCACTCCATTGCCTGCTTAATGACAGTAGCAAAAGGTTGGACGGATGAAATATCAAACCCCATTTACAGTTGTCCTTCTGAATAGTCCTCTGAATAGAGCGCCATTGGCTCCAAAACCACATCCGTGCCAGTCAGGGCAGTGGGAACATGTGACTGTGTCTCAGCCCATAGCCACGCTCTGGATGTGGTGACCTCATAGAGCGTGCCCACGATTTCCAGACGGAGGCTAGTGGACACACATTGGGGAAGGAGTAAAAAAAAAAGGCCTGGAACTCACATCTGCACTCCAGGAAGAACCTAACTTTGCTGCCTGTTAGCGCCCAGTAATCCCCAAGACCGCCAGAACAGGACTTCTCATGAGGAAAATCTTTAGATCGAGAGCTACCCCTTGGAATAGACTGCAAGATATGCTCAAGTCACACACCTTGCGATTGTCGGACGAAAAGTCCATTGCATGCGATTATCGTACGATAATCGCAAGGTGTGTGGGGACCTTAAGGTTC